TAACCTTCTTCCATGCCTTCCATCCTGGCTTTGTGAGTAGCTGAACAAACACAAGGAGAGAATTAAGCTGATTCTTGTCTCTTAGCTTTCCTGTCTTTGTAACATGATTATTAGGTACATTATCTCATTGCATTGTACGGGGCCGCATCCCGACAGCCTGTCTTCTCAACGCCCCTGAAGCATAGCTTATACCCATGTACTTCATGAATTTTCTTTAGAGCTGGGAATACCATAGGAGCTAATGCATGTGATGGTTTTGTGCAGTTAGAAGCAGGGTAAGGGGGATGGAGGGGGTAGGGGCTGGATTGTCTAGATTGTCTAGATTGAAAAAGAAATGATGTAAGTTTGCTAGACCTTTGGCTCAACATTCTGATCCCATTTTTTCACAGCTTCCTCCACACGTGTTGTGGAGAGTTGGGAGTGGGATATCAACCTTATTTGGTGGATCATTATGTCTAGAAGTTATGTGGTGGACACCATGCTACGTGCTGGGAAATACTAAAATAAATATGTTACAGTCCCTGTTTTTCAGGGCATTTGTAATTTATCGAGGACAAGAAATGGAAGAAGGGGTGGCACTACGTGAAGTGGTGGTTATCACAGAGCTATGTACAACATGCTGTGGGGGCAGAGAGTTGGTGGCGCTAATTTGAGAAAAGCTTCACAGGGGCGGTGGCATACTGGGCTTTTAGGGATGGGCTTGCCTGGTGGAGAATGGTAGAAGGAATAATCTTGGCAGACAGACGTCGTGAACCCAGGCAAAGAGACCCGGCCTGTGTGGTGTGTCAGGGAAATGGCGGGTGGTTTGAGGTGGTTGGTTAAGAAAGGAAATGATGGAACATGAGACTGGGAATGAAGACTGGGCCTAAGAATGACAGGACCTTGACTTTTAGTCACTGTGTATGGTCCTAAAGCATGGTGTATCGTGTCTATTTTAGAATGTTCAGTGTGAAGGGGGGAGAATTGATTGAAAGTAAATAGTCCCAGCAAGAGCAGGTGAGGCCTGGTACGTGAATGGAGTGGAGTGCGTGGATATAATGGACACTTGGAGATGAATTCATTAGCACTTAGTGAACCACACGAGGTTGAAACTTCGGGGCCAGCCTACCTTTAAGGTCTGGGGGGAAGAAACAGAATCTCTGAGAGAGACTGAGTGGTATGCTAGAAGACAAGGGAGGGGACGTATTTCAACAAGAGTGGTGGTGCTTGGCCATGTAGTGCCTCAAAGGGAACAACTAGGACAGGACTGAGAAGAGACTGTTATAGAGAAGAGGATGAGTCATTGGTGACCCTTGGGAGAAATTATGTTAGTGTCCTCCAAGACTGGAGAAAACAGAGGAGTGAGTGCTTACCATGTTCAAGCTGTAGCACTATTCCACAAGAGCCTAACTAGCAATTAGACTCATTTGTGTAAGGGCGTGTTCAAAAACCTCAGCTCTCCAGGTACTTGGAGTGGAGGTAGGCGAGAGGGAAGCTTTGGATCGGGGCTTAGTTCAAGTGCCCCTGAACAATACCTCTGCGTTCTGCTTTCTGAGGTCTCAGAGAGCCCTCTCCTTGCAAATACCATGACTCCAGTTGTGCCATTCTGTCTTATTACTGTCGGCATTCCTTGGAAAATAGAGGCTTATAGGTTTCTCTTCCAATTCCAAACTGGTACTCATTTCTAGCCACAATGCTTGTAGTGGTTGCTGTGATGCGCGCGTCACCCAGATCCCCTCTCTGCACCTGAGGCATTCACTGTCCACCTGCTGAGAGTATAGGCAGCTAGTGATTGTTGTCACCTGGAGATTGTCCTTAGCAGAAGAGTGTCACTTCATGCAAGATCATAATCTCTGGGCTGGGGACAGGGGACAGCCTGCATGCAATGACTAGTCAGTGGAGATGGGTGCAAAGGCCCCCATACCTCAGGGTAGGGTAATTTTGGAGGTTCACCCAAGCTCTAGAGCTCCTGTGGGATCAGATGAAGTTTTGGTTCCACTGCATAACAGCTGAACTCATTCCTTTTCCTCAGTCTGGTCCTTCTTCCTTCATTCCCAACTGGTCTTGATTCTGAGGCACACCCCCATAAGCTCCCTCTGTAAATCTCTGCAATTCTGAGTCCCATTTCCTGGAGAACCACCCTCATTTGATGATTGTTTCCAGTTTGGTTGCCTACCCAAGGTGGGTCGCCAATCCAACTGTGGTTACTCTGACCTTTGCGTTTGAACCCCATTTCCCAGAAGTAGGAACAAAAGTCTCGGCATTGCACTTCCTTGGTTCTGAGCCATCAGTCCACTAATGGGCTGAGCCATAGGCCCATTAGTGGACTGTTCAAGGAAAGAAAAGAGCTAGAAGTCAGTAGCCTAGTTCTACCTGAGACCAGCCTATTAAACCTCAGCCCCGAGGATGGGTCCGTGTGGTAGGGTGGCCCCTGGGCGTAGAAGCTGGTCCCAGCTCCGTTTCCTGTTTCTGCTCCTGTGCTCCCCTTCCACCACCGCCCCCCCATGCTTTCTAGGCTCCTTGGAGCAGGTGGTAGTCACTGTCCTGCTTCTCTCTTTCATTCAAATTTTGTTTTTTAGTCAAGAAAAAAAAAAAAAAGAAGAAAAACGAATGTTGAAAACACAATTGAGATATTTCGAGCAAATGTAGAACCTCTCTCAAAATTTGTTGCAGAAACACCACTGAGCAAACAAACTACTGGGAGCACAGCTTAGAAACAAACAGCAGCTGCCACCATTTGTGGGCTTTTTTTCCCTGTTCCCTCATTTCTTTCTAATTCTGTTTGTAATAGAACCTGCTGCTCTGACAGCCTAGCAGTTTCACACGCATCATTTTCCTGCCCATCCTGAGGCCTCCCAGGTGGTCTTTCCACTACGGGGTCTCTGTCACCAGAGCTCTGGGCCCTTATCGTGGTTCCTGTCACACGGTTCCATTGGGAACTCTGTTCACACCCCCTGACCCGGTGCGGTGTGGCTGGAACTTCTGGACTTCTCAGGCTGTGAAGTCCGAGTCGAGTCTGGAATGGGGTTTTTGGCTCTCATGGCTTTAGAACAAGGGATTATACAGATGACAATTCTTTCTCAGGGGTAAAGTGCTTCAACTGTTAGGTTTTTATTATTTTATTTTATTTTCTGTGTGGAATCTTCGAAGGCACACAGCAAAGGGCTTGTCTTGGGCCTGGTTTGATAAAAACCATAACTTACTTACTTACTTAATTTATTTATAAGATTTATTTATTCTTTTGAGGGAGAGAGAGAGAGAGGGAGATAGCAAGTGGGGGGAGGGGCAGAGAGAGAAGGAAAGAGAACGGCAAGCAGACTTCCTGCTGAGCAGGGAGCCCAACAGAGGTTTTGATTCCAGAACTTTGGGATCATGACCTGAGGAGAAATCAGGAGTTAGTTGGTTTACTGACTGAGCCACCCAGGCACACCTGAAGACTGTAACATGAAAGAACTCCCACTTGTCACGTGGAACCTATTTGGCTCCTTCCCCACGAATAGTAGCCCTGAAGCGGCCATTCACCTTTAAATGCTACTAGTGGCGTGCTGTTCTTCGGCTTAAAAATGACTGCTATGAGACACGAACAGATTGCCAGCTGTGTGTGGGGTGTGGTGCTAAGCCCTTCCTCCCTCTATATCAGAGCTCTGCAAGGCAGGGGTCATCTCCCATCTTATCTGCCCAGAGACTGAGCTGCTCTGTCACCGTGTGCTACAGTCATGCATCCGGTCAAGGGAAAGCTGGTGTTCGACCCAGGTCTGTCTGCATCAAAAGCCTAGGCTTTCCCTCCCCTGCCTCTCAGTCACCCTAACGATATATGGCAGTGCTCTCATAAAAGCGGTGACTCTTTTTTGGTCTTTCTTACTTGCCCCTCCCTCAGCATTTTTTTTTTTTTTAAGTGAGTTAGTGCCTCACATTTAAAAATTAGGACATCTTGGAAACAAAACAAAATGAAAAACTTTAAACCAGGCAATATAGTGCTCATAGGTGGATATAATCTCAACTGGGTCCAGCTGTGTGACCAATGTGACCAACCCCTGGCCCCCCCACCCCCACCCCAGGGAGACGTGGCTTCTCCAGGTTGCTGAAGACCCCAGCTGCCCCCTTCATTCTTTGTGTTACTTGATTCGCCTCTGTGGACATTTAAGTTTGTGATTCCTCATTTAGGCCCTTAAAGAAACAATTTCTGTCCAGTGAGGTAGCAGTAGAGGTCAGATTAAGTGTATGCTTCTGACTTGAATTTTACAGGCTTTGTACTTTTTTCAATTCAGGGAGATAATAATTCAGTAATAAATAGCAGCAATTATTGGACATTTATTGAGCACCCTAACAGTTAGCTGACTCTGAGGGTTAGAGGGACCTCCCATTTGGTGGTCACGATGTGCATAAATCTCCGATTCAGTTGGTATTCAAAATCCTGCAGGGACTCTTCCTGTGGGCAGTACAAGATCCGGAGACTAGGCACAGAACATATGTTGCAGGGATCGGTGTTGTAGAGAGGGGAGGTGAAGCCAAAGGAAGACATTCGGGGGAGGCAGCCATGTTGATTGCTTGGGCTTTTGGGAACCGTTCACTACCTTACACGATTCCCCCACAATACAGAAACACCCCTTTCTTAACTGCGTTCAACAGAATGGACAGCCCAGAAACTTCAAAGGGAAGGATCTCAAAAATTAGAATCCCCTCCCAGGATGATGGGTCTTTCATTTTATCCGGATGTACCTGCAAGTGTATTTCCATTTGGTAGTGAGAAATGTGTTCATTCTTTTTTACTGTTTTGGTGGAAGTTCTGTCTCCTTTTGTCTGCTTTAAAGATATCTCGTAGAAGTGTAAAATGAAAACAAAGTGGATTTTGATGAGTTTCATAGCTGCAGCTGACTTAAATTTTAATAGCAAGTAATATTAACACATGACCGCTCCCAAAGCTGAAGTTGTTATTTATTTGCTTATTTTAAATGTTTGCTTTTGCTTAAGAGAATGTCTGGAATATTGTTTTGAAATTTTGTTTGTTTGTTTTCTTTTAGGACCCTGCAGGGATCTTTGAATTAGTGGAACTTGTTGGAAATGGAACCTATGGACAAGTTTATAAGGTAAGTTCTTTGAGTTGGAACGTGACTTCTGTGTGGTTTTTGATTGATGAATGCCAAACACCAGTGCCATCTCTTCTTGCTCATAAATGCCTTACAGCAGATTTAAAACAAAATAATATGCTTCTTAATTGACTCTCCATCTTTTTAAAAATATATCTGTAGTCCCATTGCCTAAACGGTGGGATTTGGGCCTTGTCCTTCATTGTATATCACAATGTTTACATCCAATACATGAATTTCAATGCTGCCTATTTGAAGCTCCTTCTGTGTTTCGTTTCCTTTTCTTTAACACTGCTAGAACTGGTTTTCAAAGGAGTAAAGGATGCCTTTTACTTTCAAAATTTAAGGTATTAAAGTGTTGCATTTGGAAAAGTAGATTTGTTATTGGCCCAGGGCATGAATTAAACTGAGCTTAGTGAACAGTGTTAGGAGAAACCTGGCTACCTCACAAAGCAAAGGTGTAATGGCAGCAATGACTTTTAGAAGACAGGCAATAAATAAAAGTTAAACTTGAGTCGAGGAATAAGAAATATTTTTTGTCCTTTTACTAAATTTTGCTTGTGAGTTCACTCAAAAATGCTTTTAAAAGATATTCCCCCCCAAAAGGATCTTAAAAAAATAATTTTTTTAAAAAATGTGGGTTGAGGGGCGCCTGGGTGGCTCTTTCGTTAAGCGTGCCTTTGGCTCAGGTCATGAACTCAGGGTCCTGGGATCGAGCCCTACATTGGGCTCCCTGCTCAGTGGGGATCCTGCTTCTCCCTCTCCCACTCCCTGTGCTTGTGTTCCCTGTTTCACTGTGTTTCTCTCTGTCAAATAAGTAAATAAAATCCTATTAAAAATGTGGGTTGATTTCCCTTTCAGTTATCAAAAGGAAACGGAAATGGACTGTTTTTGGATTAAAATTCAGGGGGTTTTAGTAAATGAGCTGTTGAAATAAATGGCTTCAAAACAAACCAATTCTTTTCTCATGATTATTTCTAGGGAAATACCCATCATGAGATGGGTTGGTATTTTCATTATGAATGATCTCTTTTTGCTCTGTTTTTAAAAGTTCTTTCTCTGATCCCTAAACTTCTCTTAGTGGTTAAAATTACTGTAAAAGCCATCCATATTGTAATACTTCCAATTCTAGAGAATGTCAAAAAGTACACACACACACACACACACACACACACACACACACAATGGATGTTCTTGAGAATCTGAAAACAATTGTAAATAGATACATTTAAACCTTTACTTATGGGGAGGGACACTTTGTTGTCTCCCCAGGGGAAAAGTTCTCCCTTGCAAGAAACCATTGTTTCTTAAAATATCAGCCCTTTGCAGTTAGACAGAATGTAGTCCACCCAAGCTGTTCACTTGACGTTGATACTGTCTGACACAAGAAAGAAATGTGTCTCAGTGAATGCTTTTAAATACTGTCGATGAAGATAATTAGGCTGGAAGATTGTGTTATTGCATTTTGAGAAATTGGATTGAACGTGTGAATTAATGTAGGCTAATGAATTAAGCTCTGATCTAGGTAGAAAATTACTTCTGATTTGCCAGCAGTATGGAGTTGCAACTCTGTTGCATGCTCTAAGTTTTATGGTGCCTTCTCGTAGAATCATTCCATTGTACCATGCTTCCCACCTGTAGAATGTGCATTTGGGGGAACAAGTCACATCTTTGTACACTAATCCAAGAGGTAGACTATATGCTCTTGCAAAAGAAGACAACAAAGAGATTAAGTTAAGGATGAGAATGTTTGGAAAATTCAGAATTACCCCTAATTTCTTGTCACCTGAAAAGAAAAGGAAACAAGTGTCAAGAGGTATCAGGTCTTTTTAGAAAGGAAAGATATTTACCAACTATGTTGCTAACATTATTCTAAAGAAGCCATTCTTGGGACACCTGAGACGCTCAGTTGGTTGAGTGTCTGACTCTTGATCTTGGCTCAGGTCTTGATCATGACTCAAGTCTTGATCTCACAGTGGTGAGATAGAGCCCTGTGTTAAATGAAGGAAGGGAGGGAAGGAGGGAGGGAGTGAGGGACAGAGAGAGGAGGAAGGAAGGAACGAAGGAAGGAAGGAAGGAAGGGAGGAAGGAAAAATGGTGCCATTGTTTTAGTGGTTGATATAAAACTTTGGCACCACTCAAGCTGAAGGGAGACTGCAAAGAAAGGTCTTAGCTAACACACTGGCATCTGGGACAGAAGACTTGGTCTCTTTTACCAGCTCTAAGTATTGTTTTGTGGTATCACAGCTTTTCTATGCATTCGTCAAGTGAGAATATAGTTAGAAATGTTTTTGGGGACTTGTAATGATATATCTGAAGAATTAAAACCCCCTGCTCATTCAAGGGGTTCGTTTCTAGGCAACTCAGATGATATTAAGTGGCACCTGCTTATGAACAGAGATACTTGGGTTTCCTGAGCCACTAATCCAGTCCTTTTGTCACCCTGAGTTCTGAAGGATTTAAGCTTAAAAAAAGAGCAAAATCAGAGGCCCTTGGGTGGCTCAATCAATTCAGCGTCTGATTTTTTATTTTGGCTCAGGTCATCATCTCAGGGTCCTGGATGTGAGCTCTGTGTCTGTCTGGCTCCGTGTTCAGTGGGGAGTCTGCTTGAGATTCTCTCTCCGTGTCTTCCTCTGCCCCTCCCCCTATGTAAATAATAAATCTCTAAAAATAAAATAGCAAAATCAAATACGTGTGAACTTAAAAATAAGTTATGAAGTGATTGTTTACATTATAGGTTATATTTACCTTCTAGGAAATAGGTGTATTTCTAAAATACTAGAGACATAAATAGAAATTTTATAGCCCTAAAAAGAGATTCTTACTCACAAAAAATTCTATGATAAATTCTTTCTTTATATTAAGTATTGAACCTTTGATTTTAATTTTTTGTAAATCCAGTTTTTGATGTTCCTGAATTTCATAAAATTAAGTACAGTTTTTTTGGGGACAATTATATAGACATTGTCTTTATTTTACAGAAAGATTCATTTTAAGTTTCTTTTCATAAGTTGTCCTAAGAAAGTCATGATATAATTTTATTTACAAGTAGTTTTTAAGAAACCTACTTAATACGATAAACAAAAATGTGCACAAAAATTGTAGGTATTAAGAGAATGTTTTCTGCAGTCTATTTGAATATGAGCCACATACATCTGGATGTGGAAATATAAATATTTCATATAAAGGTCATAGTAATGTTTAGCTTTTCAAAGTTATTTCTAGTCTTAATCCTGGGTCTGGCTTGGGCTTTCTGTCCTTGGAAGGCTAGATTTGTTTATCTTTAGCATTTTGGTCCCAGGTGGTCAAGTAACAATTCAGTATTTTTTTTTTTTTTTTTTTACTTTATTTATTGGTCCAAGTACCTAAATAATAGAGTAGTGGTTGGTTGGTTGTCTGTCAGGACCTTTATTGTGGAAATCATCTTCCTGGGCCCATGGCTCCCATTAAAAACCAGACCAACCAAAGGCCACATACCTGTTTACTAACAGTTTTGGCTGTTCATTGGCATGCCACATATTGGGAGCTAATGGAATTCAGATACATTTTTGTTAAAGTAATTATTTTAATAAGTTAAGATAGTGGTTTAATGTTTACTGCTAAAACACCACTAAATCTTAGCCACAGATTTCAAAAACGAATGTTAGTCTATCCTGTTTCTTTCTCTTCTTTTTTTTTTTTTCTTAAAGATTTTATTTATTTATTTGACAGATAGAGATCACAAGTAGGCAGAGAGGCAGATAGAGAGGGAGAGGGGAGGAAGCAGGCTCCATGCTGAGCAGAGAGCCCGATGTGGGGCTCAATCCCAGGACCCTGGGATCATAACCTGAGCTGAAGGCAGAGGCTTTAACCCACTGAGCCACACAGGTGCCCCCTATCCTGTTTCTTAGTTTCCCTTTTTGAAATATACATTGCTTATTACAGAGATGGAGACATACTTGATCCCAGGGTGAGTGTGAATTAGCAACATGGTAGAATCCTCTTTATCTCTCAGGTTTTTCTCAAAACCTCCTAAAGGTTGTATAGCATGGACTAAGGAGGCTGCCTTGGGTGTTGCAGTGCACATGTGGGGAGCACTGTGAGTGAGTGAGCCTGTGTACTTTCAAAGGGTTGCAGAGGTCCTTATAGGGCAACCAATCAAATCATTCCTCTGCCAAATGTCTGTTCAGCCCAACCTTGAACACTTCTGGTCATCTAGACTCACTACTTCCCTGTCAGTCCATTTGCCTGCAATTCTCTTTGAATGTTCATCATCATTTTGAGCCAACATTCTGCCTTCCTAAAGTGTTTAACATATCAGGTTCATTGCATACCCTTGGAGCTACTTTAAAAAAATAAAATTAAATCTTCTTCCACAAGATTGTAGTCCTCAGATGTTTGAAGACTTCTCCGTTCTTTCCCTAAACACATACTTGTGTCTCCTGTTCTTTAGGCAATATAGCCTTGAACTGCTTGATTAATTCTTCATATGACACAGACCTGAGACCCTTCATTATTGCAATCTTTACCCAGAACTAGTCCAATATATTACTAAAAATAAATACTTTATACCTTTAAAAAAGGCTTTATTTATTTATTTGAGAGAGAGAGAGAGAGAGAGAGAGAGAACATGAGCATGTGGTAGGAAGGGGCACAGAGAGAGAGAATTCTCAAGCAGACTCCCCACTGAGTGCAGAGACTGATGCTAGGCAGGACCCATGACCCATAAGATCATGACCTGAGCTGAAATCAAGAGTCAGACACTTAACAGACTGAGCCACCCAGGTGCCCCTAAAAACAATACTTTATACTTTTAAGTAGTTTTCTATTTTGCAAAACATTTTGTGTATGTGATCTGATTTTTGATTTAATTCCTATACTAATTTCATGAGAACTTTGTTCTCAACTCAAGGTCCTTATAGTTTCCTCTGTCTAGAAAACTTTCCCCCAGTCCTTTCATGACTGGCTCCTTCTCCTTCAGGTCTCAGTTCAAATGTTACCTCCTCAAGGAAACCACTTTC